TTGAAAATTTATATATATTTAAAGAAAAATATAAAAGAAACAAAATAACATGAAATACCATTTAGTGTACCTTCATGCAGGAGGTCTTCTCTTACTGGATTTGTAATCAAAAACTGATCTGTCAAAAATTGTAGCACCTTGATTCTATCTTCAACAGATGTGAAAGGATATTCGCAGGTTGATAAAATATTTAAAATATTTTGATCAAAGGCCTTGTCACTTTCTACATACGAGCGTAACACCTCTGGCCAAGTCATAGAATCCACAAAATATAAACTAACATTTACAGAGTCTTTTTGGTCAAGAGGACCAAAATGTGTCTGCTGAGAATCTTCTTCTCTGAGAAGAGCTTTAATAAGCATAATATGTATTTCAGCCAGCAAATTAGTTTGATCTTCACACATAAGTGCAGCGCAAAAATCTTCAAACCTAAAGGCTGAAAGGCGTATTAAGGTGCGGAAATGTCTCAATACTTCATAAATAGATAAAGATGGCATAACAAGTTCTCTAGGGACTAATAGGTCGTCAGATGATTTAGGTAAGTTTAACTGTGGCAGTTCCCTGTTCTGGAGCCAGAGTGGTTCTGGACTTGGCGGCCTTTGCTGACTAAGGAGTGTCTTACGAGGTGTGCCACTAGTAGTACTATAACTGGAAAGGGAAAAGTCACTGTCACTGGAAGGATCAGGTTCTTCTATACTTTCAGATGAGTCTACATCGCTTTGTAGAAGATCCTCTTCAACTTCGCTTTTTTCACTAGACTCATCACCAAAATCCGAGCCATAATGATACTCTGAGTCATGATAGTCAACATTTGGATTGTAACCTCGGCGTTGATAAACACCAGAACCCGAGTGACCACCTTTTCGCGAATGTCTGTCTTTGGGGCCTCGCGATTTTCGAGTTCGTGTACTTCGTCTGCTTTCCTCGCTTTCGACTGGCGATGACGGTCTTGAGGGTGTCGGTGTACTTGGCTGCGAGTTTGGCGTTTCTGTTCCCTTGTTTTGTAAATATTTCGGTTTCTTCATAAGATGATATTGAAACTTTTTGGGCCTTTCCATGACCACCGATTTCGGGGGTCGGCCCCGTCTCTTTGACCCTCTCCCCGTCATTGTTTGTCACGCACTGTCAACGAAATGGCACTTACTTAACACGTGGTTTGTGGAAACGCGCGCTTGTAAACAAATACAAATGACATCGTAGCAATGAAATGGAACCCATGTTTGTACTCTGATCTTTGCGCCATTTTTCGGCTACGGTCACGTGACCAAACACAATTCTTTCATGATTAACGTTTCGGTACGATCTTGCGTGGCTTCTACTTTTCTGTCAAGGAACGATTCTCACTTTTCCGTAACGATAAGAACTTGTTTTACTACCAATAACGACCAAAATAAGTACAGAATCATTCACTGACGCGAATGTAAGGGGAATTTACAATATCTGATCCTTTAAGAGAGCGCTGTTCCAATTGGTTCATCGAATCGCCGCCATGTCTGGCCTCGAATGCATCTACTCGAAAAGTAGACGAAATCTCTGATGAAATTTTCCTTCTTTGTATTTGCAACAATCTGCAGCTCGACACGTCTCTCTCGTTTGAGTTTTAGTAAGATTCATGCAATTTAGAAACCAATTAATTGCTTTTTAATTTCACACGAAACGAACAGAGGATCCAATCGCTTTCACCGTAACTATACAAGATCCTGTCACATCAACAATAGGTGGCGACATGCGCGGTTACAAGAACGCGATTCTAACCGCACTTCCGATAAATGTTTTTTTCCCTTCTTCTCTTTCTGTATTATTCACAATAATTCGTATTTTAATCTACCACACCTCTTACTTTAAATAGATTGTGCAGTTAATTCGCATGAACGACCAAACAAGTTCGCTATTACCCGCAAGAGAGAAATCTAACCTTAGTACTAGAGAAGCTTCGACAGAGGACACCACTTTATTTCCAATTTGTACGTCGTTTGGTCGGTACACATTTTTTAACTTGGAGCACAGTCGAGGTTGAAGTATCATACTAACTAAAAATTAATGTTATTCATATAAAATAAAAAAATTTTGATATGTTTGCTGTGTAATTTATTTAATAACAAATATCAATTAATTTAAAAGAAATAAGCGACGAACGCGACATCTTCCTAATTAAAACTAAAATTCTGTCCAGTTTAAACACAGATCTTGCATAATTTTTTCTTTTAATATATACTTCACTGCTAACAGTATTTTCTTCGTTTTAGAAAAATACATGTTTCATTAAAATAAGAATTTTGTAAAAACTGTATTCTTTAATGTATTTAATAAGCAGAAAAATATTTATAGAAGTTACCAGTTAAACATTTATATACATACTATACAATATTATGATGAATTGAATTTTATTAAACACTTATATAAACAATATAACGATTAAATAAGAATCGAAAAGCATGAATTATAAATAAAAAATTATACAAACAATTTTGCACACATATTGATAATGTATTGCCAAAGTTATTCCCCCAGATGAATAAGGGAGCAATCCAACTTTAATTAGCCACTTTCAAACTTGCGAAAGAATAATTTTAAAAGCATAATATGTAGAAAGGTTTGTTAAACATATTATCACAATAAACATAAAATTCTCATATGATGTAATTTCACCAAAAATTATGGCGCCATCTTTAAAACGGATGTCAGTAGTTGGAAAACATTAGCGCCAGCATGAAAGCACGACGGAGACAAGGGGGATCAAAGAAAAATGGCCGCCTAGCGAAAATCGAGAAATACGAAAGACGAACGAGAGTGTGACGATCGAATGTGAATACGAACCGACGGTTTTTTTTACGACTTAATCTCGGAAGAATTAACGAAATGCGCAACGAAATGACGATGTATACGTTGAAACCGATTGTTTCCCTGCCACAAACGTTGTATCATAGAAAAACGATGTATGAAATGCGAAATATTCATGAAGAACGATCAACAGACGACCATACGGAAGCCGAGAACAAGATCGTACCCGATATCACTGAGCAGGTTATCAGCTTTTTAAAGGTTTTCATCATTTCTGTTATCCTGCCGACGTGAAAAAACACGGTACTAGTTAACTAGAAACAACGGTTTACTCACGCGTTTATTAAGCATGGTAGCTTCGAATATTTCTTCTGTCTCGAGCTTGTTGTGCATGACTCCTCCCAAAATTTCCACAAGCACTAATCACGATCGACCGGGAATATGGTTCTACAGGCTTGATCGATGCTTGCCCCTCCAATTTTTCATCTAACAGGACACTACGCGGCTACGATACGTGAAAAATTCAGTTTGCTCGAAGGATAAGCGGGAACGCGTTGATAATTATTATAGAAGAAGGGCAAGCTTACTAAATTAGAACTGCACTGAAAGCTACAAAGTACAGTTGTATAACCAAACACACGTAAAACCTAACCCAGTAAAAAGATGTGTGTATCTTATAGCTGTTTACTGGCATTAATCAACAATGTTAGTGGTGGAACTGTCAAATCTACAATCCATGACCCTGTGTTTTTAGATTTTTTTTATAAAGTGAAACTAGTAAAATGTCCATCTTATATTTAGTGTTGTTAATGTTAACTAACTTGAATAAAAGTTTACATTTTCATTATAAAATTTATTGTTGTAAGAATCATAATAAATTGTAATGTTTAGATTGTGATCGATCAGTAATTATAATGATGTGCAATAATTTAAATATGTTTTGTCTTGTAAAATATACTTCCTTGGTGGTGTTGTTTTGGAAACAGAAATATTTGTTTCAATTTACTCGTAACGTTTAAGTTCCAATTAATAAATCTTGTGTAGTAATACCCAATAATTCTGAGGTTATTTCTCTTATTAGGTTTTATACTTGAGTAAACTGTAACTTTTCATATTACATGTATCTTAAAGAAGTATTTTATTTCAGAGTCCATTGCCAGAGTATAATGCATTAGAAATAAGGCAAGAAAAGATATTGGAACAGCTTGCAGAACTTAAAAAACAAGTTTTAACGCTTTCTGATTTCTTAAAACAAACTAATCAAGTTTTACTAGTTGATGAAAAACCTAAATGTCAGGTAATATCAATATACAATAAAATTTTATTCATTTAAATGAAAAATCAAGATAAGTGTAATTGATTAATATTGATTTTTATAGGAGACAATTGATGTGAATCTTATAATTAATGTGAATCCAAAAAGACCACCTTATTTTATATCTGCATTACAAAAAATATGGACGGACACTGACATTAAAGTACAAACTTATGTTCATTCAAGTGTTAGTCAAGAAGGGCCCATTAGTTATCAATCAACCACAACTTCTTCTAGGAAAAATATTATTAATTTATCAGTGATCTGGAAAGATGGTATGTAAATTATATTTAGGGATATTTTACCAGTAAATAATTATATTTTATGGTTATATTATGAAGTGTTAATATATTGTTTATGAATAACTTTATTTCCAGTTGAAGATCTTGAACTTGTATCTGGTCTACATAATTATCATATAATTGGTGAAACAAATTTCCTAAGGTATTTAAGTAGGTTAATAGATTCACATAATTATGAAAATTCTTTCTGTGTAGAAAAAGTAAATTTGACCGATACCATATTAGATTTATGTCATAGTATACATTTTGAAAAATCATCAAAGAAACAGCAAGAAATATTGCTGTTAATAGCTAGTAAGGTAGATACAAATTGGTCTGATAAAAAGACACCTGATGTAGCAGACATTGTTGCATGGTGTACAATTAAACAAATTTTTCCAAAGAAATATCCATCAAAACTAAATAAGTGGTTTGCTGCATGTGAAAAACTTCTTACATAAATAAAAATCTCTTATTAAAACATTTATTATTTATTTTTATGAACACAGTTTCCATCATTTTTAAAATATTCCAAAACTTAGCAAATATCATTGGCCAAAATTATAGAAAACAGTGCCAATAAGACTATATAAATTTTAGTAAAAGATTAACATGTACTTGGAATACCTTGTACAAGTATTAAATCCCCTATTAGTACATAAAAATGTGGATAAAAACAATTTTATTCTTGAACTAATGTTTATTGGCAGTGTTACAGAAATGATTATATTTTCATTTCTGAGAAGAAAAAGTGCTGCTTTTGATACAGGACAGTAATGATTGATGATTGATGCTAACAGATAGTAAAATTAATACTATATAATCAGTAAAAACTAGAAAGCAAGTTTTATAATACAAAGAGAAATGTAATCATAAGTATAAAAATGTAACTATTTTTAATAGTAAATGTTTATCAAACAACTTGCGATCTAGTTTATGACACATATTAATCACAATTTTTAGATAGTAATTGATATTATGGCTATGATTAATTAAAATCAACCACCAAATTAAAAGTTTAGATAGAATTTATCAACCTTTCATTTTCATCAACCAACTACAATCAGTAACTAAATATAATAGAATTATAGCTGCCATCACTTAAATTGTTTAATTATTTTCATCCATTTGAAATCATTTTCATTTTTATTTTCGTTAAGATTGTCGAAGAATATTCTTAAAAATTTATTTTATGATCACTACGATTTCTTAACATTTTGTTTATACCATTTCTATGATTTTGTATTATAAAATTATTGTTAAGTGAAGAAAAACATTTCATATACATATCAATATCAGTCTGAAATGTTTTTCGCATTTAAAACAGTATTTTTTGCTATGGAAGAATTACATTGAATAAATGCATTATGGTAAAAAAATTACTGTCCTAAATTGAATAAATCTGTGTATGATACTCTTTTACAATACTGTAAATGTAATATTATATACTACAAATGAGTTAATGATACTGTTGAGAATTAAATAGATTGCATACATTCTTTATATGCAAATGTTGATGCACTAAAGCCAGATTGCTTTTTTGTTATACGATTTAAAAAAAAAATAATGAAGATAATGGATAAGTATCTATTCAAAAAAGATAAATACGTGTTGTTCAATGATTATTTAGCATAAAATTTTATCTTATGTTGCCTAAGCTGTGCACTAAATGTACAAGTGTCGTATCAGTATTCGCTATTTCGTAACTTACATAAGTTTTATGTACATTATACATCATAATATTAAAAACGAAGTCACTTATAAATAGAAATGCACGCAGTCGCATTTTATGTAAACGCTTGTGTTTACTATTTACTCAGTACAATAATGTTCTCAGACTCATCTTTAATCTATGAAAGTTATTCAAAATTGATATGATAGGCCCGATTGTGAACTGTTTATAAATCTAAATTGATGTCTTATATCGTATAACTTTCATTTATAGCACAAATCTCAATTAGAAACATTGAATTAGAAAATTTAAAAGAAATACTGTGTTCAGTATATTTGTTGAATATGTAGATATATGTTTGAAACAAAGATTTTAATTTCATTGTAGTATTAAAATATTGTTAGTAATAGAATTATTCTATTGCATTTTTAATATGTTATATTAACAAATCGGTGTGAACAAAGTACCCTTTTTACAATTGATAAAATGCATAAGCATTACGTTATTCGAGATCCATGCAATATTTTGTCTCAACTCCACTTAATAAAAGTAAAAAATATTCATTGTACACATTATGACCTTATCTAAAATTATAAATAATATGTATCTCAATATATCACAATATGGTGGTGCCAGAAGCATATTAAAGTTACTATACGAAGTATCAGCGTGCGTGAAACACTCGTGAATTCGTGCTTCAACATAAGTCTTTAACTCTGTGTACTTCAATTATAGTGTTGAGCTATTAAAATTCTAACTAATCTACTTTATGAAAACGATCAAAATTTTAATAACCAGTCTCTTCCTGCACATGTCTAGCAATTTTTAAATCTCTTCCTTAAATCATTATTTTATCCAAGTGTTTCAAAACCAATTGTCGCTCAGCATAAATTTATTTTAGCTTAATCGCATAACGATTACAAGTGTCGTTATGCTAAATCGGCACCCTATCTACTTAATAAAAGCTTTAATTCTTTATTATAAAACGAATTATACGAATGACGAGAAACCAGGTAACGGTGCTCTCGACCTTGCCATATTGTTCATAATAATTTGACCGCCATTTAAACTGACAACAGCACTACCTTCAGGCTCAGAATCAGTGTACGATGAATAATTTCTAACTGGTTTTTGACGCTTCCACGACTGTCTTAAAGAATCATTAACATTAGCGTAATGATTTACGAAGGAATGTGGATCCGATTGTACACTTTCATTCTCACTTTCAGATCCCTGTAATACAAAATATAACAAAATGAATATCTGACGTGTTATACACGTCTTATTTATATTTATGGAAAAACAAGAAAAAAAACATTTACCTGTGAATCTGTTGAACTAATTTCAGAAGGTTTTTCTGTAACACTACTATCATCAGGATTTTCGTCGTACCCCTTAAGACTTTCTTCGTCGCTATGATAAGCAACCGAAGCTGGCGAGGGTCTAGGAGGCGATTTACCTAACATTGTTGGAGGAGGAGGATGCATAGATTTTCTTGCTAAAGTGTTTCTTTTAGCTAAAGTGCCACAAGCATTAGCCATATTCATAACACCACCGCCTCCTTGTCTCGATCTATAAAGTTCTAAGTCAGATTCTTGTCTATCATCTGTATCCATTGCCATAGATTCTTCAAGTGTCTTTTGTGCTTCTTCTAAAACAATTGTTTCATTATTATTCATTCCTATTACTTGTGTCTAGTTTACTTATGTTTGTTATAGCTTACGTTTATATTTGTAACTTTTGCTTTTCACGCATAGCACCGCTATGACCATAATAATAATTATAATGGATGCAGCAGCTAAAGTAACCATAAACCAAGTTTGTCTATAGAATGGTTTGTGTTGTAAATATGCATATTCAAGATATAGCTTTGATGGAGTTAAAATCTAAAAAAAATATACATCATTAGCATGTGATGTACGAAAATAATCATGCAAATATCTACAAGTTTACCGTTTCTGTAGAATATGCTGGATAACTGATTCCGTAACGATTGTATGATATTACTCTGAATAGATAGGACGTGGATGGAAGTAAATTTTGATAAGATACAGAATATTCCGTCAATGGTCCATTGCTACTACGTACTATAGTTTGCCACCGACTGTCATCTATAATTACAAATATAGTAACGCTTACATGATTTCAATAATAAGTTTGAAATGCAACTGAAAACTTCAGCAGGTTTTCTTATAATTGTATACTACAAGAAAAAAGAATATATTTTGTCCTCTTTTTTCTATTTTTTTAATAATAATAATTGAAAACTTGCGAAGTTATGTTGTATATTCTATATTACATGTTTTAAGGGCAATAATGAAGTATTAGATGTAGGAACTGGAAAGTTGAAACTGTAGGAATACCGTTATCTAACAAGTCAAACTTCAGCTATTCACTTATTACGGTAAATTATAGCAGCATTCAAAGTTAAGATGTTTTATGAACTTCTAACTGAATTCATGGAAATGTCATGCTATGACATCATCATGCAATCAACAATACGAATACCACTAAACAAATATAATCACAGATTAATTACAAACAGGAAGCCATATTTTAACACTAACAAATCATATTTAACTGTTGAGACCATCTAACATAATAATCGACGCTCAATATATTTACGTGCATTGACACTTACAATGCTGCCACTCTTCCATTGCTATATGATTATAAAAAAGGCAGTATTAGTAATCCAAGTAGTACTATCCGTAATTTTATGTTTATAATAGTCGAAACGAAAATAATTAGGAAGTTACATTATTGTTTTCTATCTTGTATTCACATACACATATTTTTTATAAAACACAGGTTTTTTTTCATAAATTTAGCGATCTTCATTTCAATTTTAAAGTATTTTATACTATATTTACCTTTTCGGCGTGTTTCAATATAGTATCCTAGAATAGGTCCTTTCCCAGAAGCCCCATTAGCCCATTGTAATTCAACACTGGATACTGTTTTGGTAACAGCAAGATTGCTAGGTGCCATTGGCGAACCTTCTTGTGGACCTGTCGTAACATTTCCGGATATAGGTGGACCAAAATCTATGGTTTGCGCTCGGACCATAAACGTGTACGTTTCTTCTTCTTCCAAAGGTTGGATCAATAAGCTTGTTTCTGTTACTTTTTGTTTAACTTGCTTACTAAAACCTTGAGCAACATGGAACATTATATATGAGTAACAGTATTGAAATAATTTTAATATTAGAACACGTACGATCATTTTGCTCTGCTGTTTCATAAGTAACGATGTAACCAACTATTTCTCCATTTCGTAATTTTGGAGCTTCCCAAGAAACACGAAGACTAGTCATTGTAATTTCTGTAAACTGTAGATTATGCGGTGGTCCAGGTATATCCTGTAAATAAAATGAAACATATTTTTAGAGAAAATGTACCAGATACGAATTGTTTATTTATTATAAAAGTTACCTGTTTAGTTCTGACAGTGATAGGCGGAGTCCGCGGACCATCGCCAGCAGGATTGAATGCTAATACTTGAATACGATATTCTGTATATTTATCTAAGAATACTAAGCTATGCGTTAAGTATGACGCTGGTACAACTTCTATTTCTTCCTCTTGTTTGTTCTCCAATTCTTGAGGAGAATCAGTAACTAAATAGAAAATCTACAATAAGAAATATTAATAAATATACTTAAACAATTTAGTTAAAACAATAAAACGTTATATTATATATATTAGTGGTAATGATAATTGTACTTTATATCCCAATAAATCTCCATTTTGCATATTAGCTTGGGGTGGTTTCCAGCGCAAATGAACTTCGGTAGAAGAAATTGGTTCTGCTTTTAGATATTGTGGTTCTCCTGTAGGAACTGCTTCTCCTACATACACAGTTACTGGAGGACTTGATGGACCTTCTCCTTCAGAATTGAAGGGCAGAACTATCACTTCGTAATACCTATCCTCTGCTAAATCGCTTAAAACAATTTTCGTAGCCTACGATTGAGAAAAAGTTAGTACTGAGTTATTATTTATAGCTAATTCCTTTTACCTATAAGGATATTTATTACCTTTATTCCTAAAATCTCTTCCTTCGGCGTATCTTGAAGAGCTGTTGGAAAATCAGAAACTGGTTGATAAACGACACGATAACCACCTGTTTCGTGATCTCCGCTCCAGTATACTTCATCTATTGCGGTCCAATGAACTTCTATACTAGATGTTGTTATTGGAACAACTTTTAATCCAGTAACCCCTCGAGATGGTGCTATAAATTCATATTGCAATAAATTCTACATTTTTATCCGATAATTTAAGTACAAAGATATTTGATGTACCTGCTGGTAAAGTTTGAACTTGGACAGATTCTGTACTCCAAGCTGAAGGACCAATATCATTAGTTGCTTGTATTCGAAATTGATAAAGTGTGAAAGGTTTCAAATTATTCGCTGTATATGATGTTAAAATTGGTTCTACCCTCTCGGGAATAGTTTGAAATGGTCCTGAATTTTCTGATTGTTGTACTGTATAATATCTACAAAAAAAGAAAGTATTTTATATGGAGCATATAATATATGGTACCTAATATGTTATATGGTACCTATACCTTAATGGAGCAAACCCGTCACGACCAGGTGTCCAAGTAAACGTTATTTGTCTACTTTGTACTTGTGATCTGCTAACTTGTGGCATCGATGGTGCCTGAGGGCGTTCCCTGTTATTTGTAGTAAAAACAAGAGCATACGCTGTTTTACCCCAACCTAGCCTCGTTTGTGCCGTTACCGAGAACATGTAATACTTTTCCGGTTCTAATCCAGTTGCCCTGGAAGATATAAAAAAAAAAACAAATTTCATATTGATTTCTAATACTTATATCAAACGTATTATTAAATATACCTAAAAGTTCTATCTGACGCAGGAAATTCTTTAGAAAATTGATGATCTTGACTGTTATTTAGATGAAACATAACTTTATAGGCAAGAATCTCTCCGTTTGGATCATCTGGAGTGTCCCAAATAATACGGGCAGTGGTAAAGCTTACATCAGGAAATGATACATTCGATGGAGGTCCAGGTGCTAAAATAATTTTAATATATTTATCTATTATTACATAAAAGAATTATAATTACGATAATAAGGCGATGGTAAGCCTTACCATCTTCAAAGGTTTGTACTCTAACTGGCGGAGTACTTAGAGTACCATCGCCAAGTCTTGTATAAGCTAGAACTTGTATGTGATATTGAACAAATTTTCGAAGTTCTGTTAAAGTTGTTGTAAAAGTCGTATTGCTAGGAATGTTTTTATACTGGAATGCTGATCTAGCATTTGCACCATAATAAACTTTGAACCCTTCTATTTGTCCATTTTGATGTTCTATGGGGACATCACCCCATCTTACTAATATAGTCGTGGAAGATGTTGCATTAGCTTCCACATTAACGGGTCCCATCGAAGGAACTTAAAACGAAAAATCATACATTACGAATGTGACATTATTTTTTTAAGCGAATGTGCAAAATGCACATTTACCTGATTCGCGAGTTCTTTCAACAGCTTTGGGACTTAATGTAGATGACCCGACGTCATTAAGTGCTTGCATCACAACTTCGTAAAGAGCATACTCTTCTGTATTTTCTAAAATATAGGAATTTGCTGTATGATCCTCTATCGTTATACTTTTTGACTTGTTCGTCCGAACTTCGGTATAAGTAACATTATACCCCCTTGGATTTCCATACCATTCTATCTGCTGTAATGGCTATTAAAAAGAGTAAATAAATAAAAAACATGCCTTAGTAAATAACGAAAAAATTATTATTAGTTAAAAGAACCAAGTGTAAATTTTTGCATATTGTTAAAAATAAAAACTTACAATCCATCTAACGCGCAATTCTGTGGCGCTCATTGCACGAACCGTAACATTCCTAGGAGGATGTGACGGCGGTGCTTGAATTGTTTGAAACTCTTTCGTTGGTTCGGAAGGTTCAGAAGCACCGACGACGTTGTTAGCGATTAATCGTAGTTTATATTGCATAAATGGAATTAGGCCACCTACGGTGATTGTACTAGCATCAGGATCTGAGACTTCGTATATGTTGTACCATGTTGTGTTTCGAGTGGTTTGTGCTTGCACCGTCCACTTTGTGATAGACGAATTACCATCGAAACCCGGTGTAAATTGGAGAACAACGGAGAACGCGTCTATATTAGACAGTGCTAATTTAGTAGGTGGTTCAGGGAGAACAGGCTCAACGCCTGATTGAATAACAGCTACTCTTGCTTTTCCAGAACCCACTGAAGTCCATGCAACAACTTCAAATCTATAATGTGTCATTGCTTGTAAGTGTTCGATTTTAGCAGAGAGAACGTCTGCCGTGAAGTTTTCTACTCGTTGAGAATCTGGTACATCTTTAATCATATATTTTAATTGATAGAGAGTAAGAATTCCGTTGATCTCTTGCGGAGGACCCCACTTAACGGTAAGGGAGCGATCGCTTATATTCTCGAATTGTAGATTGTCTACTTCTTCAGGTACGTCTTCGCGCGTACGAATTTGAACGGGAGTACTTTTCTCGCCGTCACCCGGATCGGTGAAGCATAACACGGTTATGTTGTACAACATGTATTTTTTCAAACCGGTCATAATGGCACTTTGTTCTGCAAGAGGATCGAATAAACTAGGTGGCACGGTCATCGACTTGTATTCATTTGCTTCTGTAAAGTTGCGGTCAATCCAGGCTTGTAGTTTATAACCCTGATTTATTCCATTAATCTTTTGCGGATTCGGAGGTTTCCACCAGACCTTTATCGATGTTGAATTAATGGCTTTCACCTTTACGTTTGTTGGCGGAGCTTCTGGTACTCCTTCCTTAGTTTTAATTTTCAAACCGTCTGTGAATATTCCAACACCTTTGTCATTGTACGCTGCTATTTGCACGATATAGTCCTTCCACGTGATTAAGTCGGTAATAAGATAATTCTTTTGTGCTTCATTCGTAATGTTCTGTATTGTCCAAGGATTGTCGTTGTAACCGTACAATCTATATCTTAACATGTATCCTAAAATATGGCCGTTTCGATATTCTTCTAATGGAAGCTGCCATTGCGTTATTATCTCTGAGGATGATCGAGCGGAACCAACGAATCCTACCGGTGGTCCGCTTGGTGCTACAATAAGGTTTGACAATTTAATAAAAATTTAAAAAAATCATCGAGTATAGTGAAAATTATATAGCTATACTCACGCTCTTGAGGAAGAATTACCACGTTACTAGGATCTGAAGGAGGTCCTTCGCCAACGCTATTTTCTGCGGTCACTCGAAACTGATACGTAGCAGCTGCTTTCAAATTGTTCAATAACACCCAACGATTTTCTGCCGAAACGTTATTGCACTCGGTGATCCAATTTAGTGCAGTGTCAGGTATTGGTCCTATATAAACGAGATAACAAGTGATAAACGTGTGCTTAATCGTTCATTAAACTATATCTTATATCGGCTTACCGAGATCGGACACTTCTCGTCTTTGAACGATAAATTTTTTCGTTGGACTATTACCATCGAAACCTGGTACCCAAGTGACGTTTATAGTGCGAGGAGAAATTCGTTCGACTCGACTGGCCAGTACATTTATCGGTGCAAATGGCAATTCGATTACACTGAGCCGAGCAGAGCGAGTCTCGTTGCCTCCTGGAGAAACTACGGAACACATGTATTCACCTACATCAGAAGCACGAACGGCGGCTATTTCCAATGTACCATCGTTGCGCATTTTTACTCTCTGACTGGCCTGAGTATTTATCACTCTGCAGAAGCAATAAGTATAGGGCAAATTATTGATATTCGTTTGAACAGTGAATTTCATTTCTAAATGTTGTATTAATTCAACTGTACATACTGTGTATTGTGGAACCAAGCTATATCAAACAGAACGCTTGGGTCGTTGGATACTTTACACTGTAATTCAGCAGTATAGCCAAGAAGAACGGATGTATCAACAGGTGGTTGAACAATTTGCGTACGAACTGAAACGAATTGTATATTTATAATAGAAATACCTGTACATAAAATTCATCGCTTATGCTACAATGTTTTTCAAGTATTCTACTTACCTAAAACCGTAAGATAACCCGAGCCATTTACCGAACCAGCCTCGTTAGCTCTTACACAGGTATATTTTCCGGCGTCGTTTGGCTTTACGGCAGCGATTAAAAGATCCCCGTTATCTAAAACTTGTACTCTTCCGGCAATTTCCACGGGAATCGTATCTATGGATCAACGAAAATCATTCGTTGATTTTCCACATATTGTACGTTAAACGTTAATTCTTTTAACCATTGATGGCTCACCGTTATAAATCCATGTAGTGTTAGGTATCGGTGCTGCTACAGCATTACACGTTATCGTTGCATCTTTTCCATCTAATATTGTCAGATTTTGTGGACCGTTTTCCATGATCGGTCCAGACGCTGAAAGCATCAAGTACATTAATATCCTGCTTCCGAGCAACGAGAATTGTTCACATGCAGATAAAAAGAGGCAGAAACAATCGATCACAAAAAAAAAAAAATGAAGTAAACTTCTCCCATTTCAGTGTTTTCCAATATATCCATTCATCGACGTTTTTTCATCGTCGAATAAAACAATTAGTACACGAATGAAAAAAAAAATTTAGAAACAGTCTACTGGCAACGCGATATCGTTTATTTGCGTACAATGGAAAACGCTGAATTTACCCCATACCTGATAATAATCGATAATAATCAATACTGAAACTTTATTTTCACTAAAAGTCCAAATTATGTATACTCTAGAGTATAACTACGGAGATAACTAGTCTTTAAAGTGTATCTATCTGTTTTACAGTATGTCTTCCTAATCTAGAAACGTGCTGTTCGCGACATTTCTGTCAATTATGACGTAAATACGTGCAAATGTTTAAAGATAATTCACTCTAATGAATCGGACGACGTCGATGTAAAAAGTATGTTAATTCTTTTACCTCCCAAAGTAAGAAGCAATGTATGTCATTGTGTACTGCGTTTTTACTACCAAAGATATTCTCTGTCTGTACTAATATTAAAGACACTACACAAGTCTCACGTATACTCATTTAACATGTCGAATATGTACTTCTAAAAACAAATTGTCCAAGGAGTAACGTGTTCTGCACACAAACGGACCATCGTGCTTAGCATATGTATGTATACATGTATCGACTATACTACCGGAGAAAAAAGAAAACACGGATATAGCTGATAAAAGCAAACATTGGTGGTGTGATATGCATTCTTCAAGCATGTGCCTAGGATAATTTAAAAAAGAAAAAAAAAAAGAGGTGGGTATTTCGTGGCGACTTGTCATTAGAATCTTACTGTCTGGATATTGAGAGAACTTAAAACGGCGATCAGATTGGCGAACTCTGACTACATTGTAGCCAGCTGCCCAGCGGACAACTCTGTTTTTCACTCTGCTCTCTAATCCTTCTGCCCCACAAAAAACACGTTATTTATGATAAGTACAAACAAACATTGTTCAACTAACGAAACAAAAAAAAAAACAAATAAATTATAATATCTTTTACGATTTTGCGTAGCCCACCAGGGGTTACATACTAACTTTTCGCTTTCAGCCAGGTGTAACTGGACGCTTCGCCAGCTTCGTTCGAAGCAAGGCACTGGAACATCCCTGAATCGCCCATGGTTAACTTTTTAATGGTCAAGGAACCGTCCTCTTCCATTGCGTATCTGTAAATGAACGGAAAGAAGGAATAAATCTCTGTGTAAAATGATTCAAATACCGATCGAAGGAGATATCAGTGATAGTAGAAGAAAGTGTAATTAAATCAGAATGAAACTTTTTACCAACATTTACGAAGATCATACCTAGATCCAAGGAGGTGATCAACAGGCTCAGCATCACGGAACCAAGTGATCTTAGGAGGTGGAACGCCAACAGCATCGCATGGCAATGTCACAGTCGATCCATAATCGCTAAGAGTTTCTCGTTTCAATTCTGTCATGAATGTTGGCTTTTCTAGAAAATCGCAAGGTAAATTACAGTTAACAATGAAAATGGAGTATTAGAAAGATTGTAAAATCGAGTACTTTCGGCGATAAACCGTGCAAGTGTTCGAGAACGTTACTTTATCAGGTGTCTAAGAAATGCAAAAATACGATTGTCGTAATTCATCGAAGAAGGATTTACTGCTTAGACAACGCTAGAGAGTGTATTTTAACATCCTAAAGTATCCTCAGATCTTGGATGAATCGAACGAAACGAGAAATGTAAAAGTTTTCTCAAGTTTGTCCGCCTGTTTCGATGACTCAAAACATTCATTTGCATGTTTCGACGTTATTATAGCAATTGGCGAATCCCTCTTACCATGTACGACCACTTTCGCGCTAGCGTTCACCGTGGGATATCCGCCGCTCCTTAAATCCACGTGGCAAGAGTACACACCGGTGTAAGTTATGTTTGCCGAGATCAACGCCAAAGTTCTATTCCACGAGTCGTTAAAACTGTACGATATCCTCGAGTTCTCAATGGGGATTCCATCTTTCGTCCATAAAGTTCGTAACTCGTGGAGCGACCTAAAATTGTTCAAGTATACCGTCAACGTTCCTCTTTAGGCAATTTCCGCGTGTAAAGGTGATTTCGAGATGATTGGACGAACTTTCGAAGGATAGTTTTTTTTCACGAGTAAGATAGATACACGCTGCAAGAATTATAAATGTAGGGGATATTTCGTTTTCCGAGTCTTTTTCCCTTATGCAAATTTTTCATTGTCCTCTGCTTCTTCAGTCACATTCAACCCAGTTCCTTTTTACTCGAAACGTGAAAATTTCCACATTCGTGAATTTGGTACAAGGGAAATGTTGTATTATTTATATTTAATACAGTCTCTATTGCTGCTTTGTCTCGTAGAACGAATTTTAAACTAAATTAATCAAAAAGGTCATCTGGTTTAATATCACTTCTCTGTGCTCTTAAAACTACCTGTTACTGCAACACAGAATGCCTCGAATCCATAGTAACAAAAATTCATTTTCATTTATAAAACTAAGGATTGTCAAATTTTGATCATTGGTACAGTGCCAAAACAGCTAACGCCTGGATGCATACACAGCAAAAGAAATCACAAGTCAAAGGGTTAATACGTAATACCTAAAAATCTTCAAAAACCTGTCTTACAATTTCCTCGGAAATAATGTCGAAAATTCTTCCCCAAAAGTTACTCCATCTAACGTTACCTCAAATCGAGCAACCAACTCTAAAAACTCTACCAGCCATCCCACAATTGATCCACTCAGAAGCTAAAATGATCAACTAACTAACTTTCCGATACTCTTCAAATTTTATCGGCAAAGCAGCTCCTCGGTGCTTAATTCTTCATAAATGAAAAGAAAGTTATCCAAATTTTACCTAGCATTGGCAATGCAATGAATATAAGTGACGTCCTGATCCTTGATGATCTGCGTGTCCTGCGGTTTCACGATGATAGCGGGTGCAACCTCAGCGTTCGCATCTCCGGTGACTTGCAGCTTGAAGAACGGGCTGTTCTCCTCCTTGCCCAACTGCGTGTTAATCGCTCGAGCCCTGTCCGACAGAGAACCGGGCATAGTGGAGAAAGAAGCGTTCTTTTCTAAATGGGAGAACGGCATGGCGCGACGCGGTGTCTCGAGGAGAGCCAGTTAACCGGTCACTTTTCATACGAACCTGTACAGGCCTTGATCGCTCTCCGACGCGTTCAGGATAAGCAACGTGTGATGAACAGCCGCGTACTTTATCCCGTATAATAACGAACCGTCGGACGTGAACCATGTAACGTCAGGTGCAGGATGGCTTTCTATCGGCGGCAGCGTTAAAACAGCCGCGCTGCCCGATTTCACGCTCACTATTCTCTCTGTGAGGTCCTCGAACACCCCCATATCTGACAGGATAATATTACGTACGGTGTTACTTTCGTCACGCCGTGTGCATTTACCGCGACCAAATATGCTGCCCGCGATAATCAGAGCATCTTGTCGTCCTGGACCCATGATAGGATCGAATGTTGGAGTACGCAACAAACTGGCTGCGGTATTGATTCGTACTTGGTGGACTGTTTGTCGATTGATCTGTGGTATTTAAAGTTCTTTCTATTCTTTTTTTGGTTTAACTTGGAATTTTTATTGGTGTTTGTAAGTGAAAGTTCGGAAGTTTAGTATTATTTTACAGTTTAAGACTTTGGAAGATTAATTGCCTTTGGTATTTAAAGTTCCTCTTTGTTCGTTTAATTTTGAAATTTTTATGTTTGTAAGTGAAAATTTGGAGGTTTCGTACTGTCTGTTTGGTGAACAGGAATTTGATTTTTTGTATCAGTTCTTCTATATCTAGAAGATTGCTGTTTTCCTTTTATTCAGGAATTGGACTGAAGGAAGCTTGAATTTTTTAATTTTAATTCTGTCACTGGTTGATTAATGTAGTTTGTTAAAAGTTTCAGTATAAAAATATAGAAAAAGAGGTAAGAGTCTTTGGTGACAATTTACCAACAAAGATAAGATATATTACGTATCACCGAGAAGTTCATTACCTTATGCCAATAGAATTAAATTTCAAATTATTCACCTGCACTGTAATAGAGAATTTCTTGGAGCAAACGGTGCACGAGTACTCTGTGCCATTAAATACTCGGAAAAGTTCATTCTTCCAATTAAGAAATTCTTGTTACGCGTAGATATATTGTTATCTTAAATATCTATTTTCTAAAACGCTCAAGTCCTTTCAAGCACGAAATGCACTATGCAACGATAGAGCAGCTGGAATCAGCGGACCCTCCAACTATTTCGAGCAGCATATTCCACGCTAAGGTTCTTTTACGACCACCATAACACTATCTTACAAAATTGATACGTACAGGCAACCGCAAATGTAATTCTTTCGCTAAATATAGATCCTACATCATTCGTAGCGACACAGTGGTACACCCCTGCGTCTTCTCTGCGTGTACTTTGTATTCGAAAATAAGGCTCCGAAGTAAGCTCGTTGCTGAGAGGCACCCCATCCTTGAACCACTTGTACTTTGGCTGAGGATTTCCTGCGAACAGAGCACGAATGTATATCATTAATCCTAAGCTCGAGATCACCGTTTGCTACATTGAAAATAGATCCTTTCAAGGAGACTCCAACTCTCGTGTAATACGTTTTTCCTCTCGCAGAGTACGAAAAAGAAATTGATTTTCTGTGAAACAAATTTGGGAATATTTGGTACACTTCACTGTTACGACATTAACTCTCCGCAGGGGGACATATTTTTTCACGCTAAGTAAGCAAACAGAGTCGCTTGTGTCCAAGTCTAAATTTTCTACGGTTTCAAGCTTTCAAAAAATCTGGAAAAATTCTGGAGCTTTTATTAAAGTCTCTACTATATTATACAAGTGGGTGTGTTAAGTGGAATGTTTTAAAGTTTGTTCAATAATCGAAGAAATACAAGAGTGAAATTTATCTTGGATCCAGAAAAGATTTTTTCACATTCCCCTCTAATCTTTTTCCTATTCTACGCTTTATGAAACTCTGAAAAACTTCCGGAGTACTTATCAAAGTACTCTCTGCTACGTTATACAATTGTTGATTAAGTCAAATGTTTCAAGCTTTGGAATAAAAATAAAAATTCGTTTCGAAGAAATACGAGAGTGAAATTTCCCAAAGACCCAGTTAGAGTTAACTATTTATCATTTCCAATAATTGATCTATCCTGTAAAATTTTGCAAATAGCTTCCATCGATACAAATTTGACCAACGAAGAACGAAATTATGCAGATTTCTGTATTTCGATATAAAAATTAACCTTGACCTTTGACAATTTTTACGTCACGCTATAATTGATAAATTGTAGCAGTGGTAGTCTCAAGCTTATGCGTTTCCAAGGAGTTGTTGTAACTTTTTATGTCCTTAAGTTTGAACGATATCGAGACTATGTCTACGTCACGTTTAAATGTCATCAATGAGGACAGTTCAAGGTGTTAATTTTGCTCGCGACTACCATGGGTATTTCTCATTTGGTAGAGGCGTATATGCGCCATAGAGAGCGGCCTAATACTATTAGTACAGGGTCATGTTATCGTGTTACGGCACCAGGCCGCTACTATAAGGCTTCATCTGGTCACCGTCTCATCCGGCTGTTATTCGATATTTCGTGAGAACAATGGGATATTAAAAAGACACCGGAAAATTTTGGCAGTTTTGAGGAAGCTGGTATTTGAAATGTGTGAAAATCAACGGTGAATCGTAGAAATCGTGCGATCTCCTTCCTTCGATCTACCCTACGAAGAACTACGAAAGTTCGAGGAAGAAATTTGAATTCGTCGCTTAGAGACGATAATAATTATGTTAGAAGAGAATTTGAAATTGAAAAACTTAGCGTTCGAGCAGAGAAAAATACGTGATCTGTGTGAAAATCAACGGTGAATCGTAGAAATCGTACGATCTCCTTCCTTTGATCTACCCTACGAAAAGCTAAGAAAGTTCGAGGAAGAAATTTGAATTCGTCGCTTAGAGACGATAATTATTATTTCACGAGAAAATTGAAAATTTTGAAAAATGATTCGAGTCAGTGAAACATGAAAGTACGACGAAAAACTTGAAAGAGATTCTATAACCCATTGTTATAAATTATTACACGTTTTCAAGAAGAGTTATCGCATTTTTTAAATATTTTACAAATTGCACAGACAATCGTGCGAAAATGTGAAGGAAGAGCAGAGTTCGGATCGATCCGTCTTGCGACTAAAGTGCATATAACGCTGAAATAAAATGGCAAGAGGAGGGAGGTTCGTTAATAAATTTGAAATCGTCGCTTCCGGGTAGGACCTGTTCAAATATCCAAGTATTTCGTACTCACCTCTCGCTTGACACTGCAGAAATTTCGTTCGATTTTCGCTAAGAATATTGCCGCTACTGGAAGGCTGAGTGGTGAAGCGCGGTTCCTGGAGGGTCTCTGGAAAAGAAAGATCAAGAGAACGAATTCCAGTATGTAGTTCAATTACGTTTTACGCACGAGCAGATTGATCTTGTGTTAACGTAATGTCTAATGACGTCGTAATGCACGGTATAAAACCGATATAAGTATATCTTGGGTGAAAAAGGGAGAGAAAAGTAAGAAGGTTCTCTTATGATCTCCGCAAACTTGTTTGGGCAGTATGTGGCTCGTGTATTTAAATGTAAAAGTGTTTTTAAGAGTTCTTAAATATAAAGGGGTGTTATAAAGGTATTGTTAATTATTGATTTTTTGTCAAATGATAAGAAAGGACGATGTTAATTATATTTGAATTTGAAGTAATGGAGTAAATTATCCAATAAGGAATAGTATAGATTAGTGTGTTTTAGAGTTTGTTGCAAATAAAAATTACAGGTAAAATTATTTTTTCTCTTTGGAGAGAATAAATGCAAGAGATTTGAACTAACAACAAAGTTCTTTGGTACTGCTTGTTGTTTCGTTGCATCCTTTTCAAGAGATTTAAATACCATTGTAGTATTTTTAAATATTATTCTTCAAATGCATTTTATTACTCTTCGAAGTAATTAGCAAATTAGATGTGAAAATGGTTGAAAGTTAACAGTTTCCCTGAAAAAGTGCATGTTTCATACGACCTTGGCATCGAAGAAGGAATAAGATCGGTCTAAATTAAGCGAGAAGTGGCTTCTAAAGTACTCGACAAATAGGCTTTGCACCTGAAGTAGGAAGAGCGAGGAAACTCCTCGAACCAGTTCTGAATTTTACGTAAAAATCTTCATTTTAATTCCTCGAGTCTTTCAAGTCATCTTGTTAGTCACTGACTCGGGTAAGGAAATCCTTTCCCTCTAAGTATGCATCTCTTTTTCCTTAAAATTTGCAAACTTAATTTCACGTTCAGTGCTAAACTGAATTGCAACTGAATAAATAGACGTTGCTGTATCTTTCCATTGTATCGTAAAAGAAGGAGAAAAGTGATTGCTCCGTATCACAAAATAACAGAAAAGCCAGAGGAATCTGAAAAACGTGCATTCTTTCCTCTTGACCGTTCATTCTTGTGGAGCACATGTTGCAACAAAACACTGGGAAATTGCTAGAAAGAATTCGAGTTTAATACATAAAGAATGCAATTTAATCGGAGGAAGCTATGTACAAAGTCGGGGAAGAACCTTGCTGTGTAATAGCAACGATAAACAATAAATGCACGATTAATACCAAATTACACAATTTGCGAAAGAGAATGAAATACTCGACACTTTTTTTTTTGCACGATTTCATATATGCTCAAAGACACAATTAACTGCAACAGAAAATTTGAAGAACAATTAGGGCAGTCACCTCTGAAACTCAAACGTTAAACGCGGAAAGAATCTTCCATGCCACTGTTATTAATTAGGTCGTGCAACGTGAAATGTCATTAGTCTTGATTGGAACTTAACACGAACTCTTAGATTCCCCGGTAGTAACTGAAACCCTTCGCAATCGAGTGGCGACTGAGAAGCAACATTAAATAATCGTCATTTGGTAAATAATTAATCAAGACAGATTGACCAGAGAGCAGATCTACAGATCTCCGTAAATTTCTTCACCATAGTGAAATAGAGAATACATGAAATATTTCGATAAAATAGTATAGTTTATTTGTAGGTTAGTTTGAAAAAATTTCAAACATCCGATCTGCAAGCTTTCTTACAGCAAAATGACCTCCGAGTGCAAAGGGTTAATACGTAACGCGTTCAATCGCGGCCGCAAAATCTTTTGTTTCGACCGCGGTGTTTGAACATTTGTTTTAAATTGAATTAAGGTGAAAAGTACGAAAGTAGAGGATTAATCATTTCGCTGCGGTACGCTTGAGACAAAAAGTGTTCGCTGTGTATTGGACGAAACACAGTTGTTAGATAGTGAAAATAGAAAACATAAATAATAAAGATATGTATGATTGAAAATCAATTGTTTTCATGATACTTAAATGTCTGGTGCATTCTGGTGTTGTCTGAGTTTCAATCGACAGCGATATTTTATTTGCGAAGCGGCAAAATAGATTAGTAAGTTTTCCGTATTATACGGGCGTATCTGTGCGCTCTTCATAAATATACGCTCTCCGTAGCGAAAGGGTTAAATTACGGTGAAAGTGCGGTAAAAAAGGCGTCCAACGGTACAGCGAAGCAGAATTTCCAAACTTTTATAGGCGCCAAGAGCAGTGAAAGGGTTAAATTAAGAGGAATTTTTCAAAACTGAATCAATTTGAGCGTATATTGAACGTGACACGACCGAATATTTTTGTCGATAATTGCTTGTCGAAGTTCTACCCGTCGATTCGCTTCGCAGTTCTTACGAAATCGCTGAAAAAACGCTCGAAAGCTGTGGATTCGGTTTATTCCACGTGGTCGTACGAAAGTTCGCCGCGATTTTCTCGCGATACAAAACGGGTTAAGGACGAAACAAAGTTTACGGAACAGTTGAACGAAGCGGCGGTGCCTGGAACAATTAGCGACGAAACAAAGAGAACAATCGAGGGAAACGCGTCGAACCTCGCGATGGATGGATACGCGTCGGTTAGCCGATGAGAAAGTCCATCGCGTTCGCCCTCGTCTTAAAAATCATCGGACCATGCCTGAAAAGAGGGTGCACGTGTCGGTTTACGTCCATGTGACTCGGCTCTACGGCATCCGGCTGTTCGCATTCTTTTCTCTCCTCTTCATCCTTTTGGTACACCGTAAATTACGCACGCCACAACCTGATGACTCAGTTGTTATTGCGTGGAATTCGAGCATAATGCACCGTATATGCACCGTAAACTATAACTTCATAGAACCCTTTTTTTCAGTTGCCTTGTATCTACCCGTTGGAATTCGTACGAAATCTCTGTTGCAGATTTCTCTTCGAACCGAACAGTTTTCATTTGTATTCGTTTGTCTTGTTGTTGGAAAATGGAAAATTAAATGGTAATTGAAATTTCTTTATTCGTCGTTTATAAGAGGAATTTACGTGTTTACTTTTTGTGTGAAAGTTACTCAAAGATTGATCAATTTGGAATGAAATAATTCTACAGTCCAAGACCCTTAACCCCTTAACCTATGATTTCTTTTCTGACTATGCATCTAAGCATCAGCCATTTTCTGCTTTAGTACTGTATCAGGTGACGAAAACTAATCTGTTACAGATTAATTACATTTAGCAATACTCAGTCCTATTAATTTAAACGAAAATTAGGATTACTATTAATTTTTCTTACTGATACAACTATTTTTGTCACATCTTCGCCAGAATCTCTGCCACGAGTCTGACACGTTGTCATATGTTAAGGGGTTAATGTGCAGGGTGAGCCACGTGAAACAGTTACGGTGGTACGAGAAATGTTTTTTGGTGAAAGAAATGGCAAAAAATGAAAGGAAGTTTTACATTTGATTTAAAATTTTCGAGTCAAAGGTTATTTTAGGGTTACATTATTATGCACGTTTAAATGCACATCAATCATACAGTAGAAGAAAATATATACATTCGTATAAAAATACATATGTAGGTCATCCATTTTATTCACCCATTGAAACCAACAAATTTTCTTGTACCACCATAGCTACACAATTAGGTCACCTGTTTCATGTGGCCCGCTCCGTATAACGGGTGCGGCAATAGAATGTGACGATTTTTAAGGAGCTATTGTGGATCAGGTTTCAAATTGAAAGAAAATACTCATATTAAAGAAAAACACAGTTGTGTAATACAATTTATAAATTGTCCAATTATTTTTCGAAAATAATATTTCTACAATCCCAGTAGATATTTAGTTGGCCCACACTGTATATTCTCATACATAAAATAAATGAAAAATTGATCGTTAACGTATGTTTCTAAGGTATAAAAAAAAAAAAAAAATAAAAGAGAACCAAATAGAAACTTTGCTGTTTCTCTAGCGTTAACCCTTTGCACTCTACTTGTGCGCCGCTACGATGACACGTATAATTTACATCTACATAACAACGAGCTCACATAGCGAAACGTGTAATCTACATAACAACTCGTAGGATAGAAAATTTATGTTTCATTTATTGTAACATAACCCCAGGTTTTATTCATTACGACAAACTGAGTAAACGAGATACAATTCCAAATTACAAATCTCCGAAAATTTTGATTAGATAGATAAGTGCTTATAATTTTCCAGAAGCGGCAGAAATAAACGCGGTGAAATTATCTCGAGATTGTCGTTCGTTCTTATTAAAGAATTCTTGGAATGCGAAGGGTTAGAAATGACCGATTCGAACGCGGGATCTACGAGCAGGTAGCCAGAGAAAAAGCAGTTCTACGAATCAATCTGAGAATCTCCAGTTCCCAGGCGTTCATAAATTCCTAACGATTCCTCTGTGTAATCTGGTTCAGACTAATTATTTTATTTAAAAAATTCAAATTGCGTTCTTAACCAACGTTCGGTATTATTTAGCGTTGCATTTATGAAATTTTCGAATCAAATGTGAAGCTTCCTTTCATTCTTTGCCATTTCTTCTGTGATAAAAATTTTCTTCCATTTTATTTACCCTTTGATACCGTTTAAATTATCTATAAACAATTTTATCGTACCTACGGAAGATAATAAGGTAACCTGTTTTAATTGAAAAAATTACAAATAACGATACTTATTAGGGATAAAAATGAAATCTTGCAAAATCGACGGAAAATATCCGCTAAGAAATAATTATGCCGAATTGTACAAAACACGGGCAATTTTAGCAGGTGAAAAATGAATTTCTATTGAATTTATTCGTTCGCTGGCTACTTCATTTGGTTAGCGGCCATCTGTTAACTTCCGTTTCGTTCGCTTAGGGCCGATAACAAGATAAATAACGCTACACGACATTACCGTCGCAAATTATAACCGACCGCTGGTGCAGTTAAACTTCATTAAAAACTGATTCGTGCATTAACGCACTAATGCAACATAATTGGAGCTGGCTGTGAAACGATTATTCCCGAGGAAAGTTGCTTCC